AAAATTCGAATCAGCTCATCTTATGGTGGAGCGAAAAGAAAAGTTCTAGTTTATTAAAGTGGACACTAAAGTATGAAACCGACACAAGTTATGCTCATGGTTTCTGCACAAGGTTTGGGCATGGAAACAAATAAATACTCCCTAGGAGATAGGTGGTATCTTTCATTCTCTAACCTCAGACTATGTTTTATTAGGATTTAAAGTGAGCCAATAATAGTATAAATTCATCAATTGTGGAATATGCCAAAATTAATTAGTGTTGTCAGTTCCATCCTTCAGATTTACACAATTTTGAAAGAATTAGGGTACTCTTTCGTTCGGAAACTCGAACGATAAAGTTATACATACGCCAAATTTAAGGTCACAAAATTAACGCCTTTCGGTGCAGATGGTCAACACAATAAATTAAATCAGGTCAACAATATAGGCAGTAACTTTTATGATATCATTTCTTTAATAACATTGGATTGGTAATCAATAAAATTGCAAGATCACTGTATTTATTGTAGTAATATAAAGAATGTCTAAGAAAATATAAGAATTAACACTCTTGGCAAATGCATACACTTCTTCAACTGCCAACCCCCCCCCCCCCCCCCCTACTACCCCCACTCCAAACATGTAATTATACTTAGTTATCAACGAAAATTAACTCCTTAAGAATCCTGTAAGTTTTAGATACAAGGAAGCCCGAAGTCAAGAGATATTTTTACTTGTTCCTCCGAGATCCCAAATTTATCACTATCTCTACTTGGTAACTCTAATACTTAAAGGTTTTGGTATCTTTATGGCCAAATCTGGCACCAACTGATCACTTGACTGTTTAAATGACATTGAAAATAAATCACCTCTGCCGTCCTTCTTATTATAGTAGAGTCAATTGTCTACAAAATGTTCTTTTAGTTATGCAGCACTAAGTCAAGAGGGCCACACAAAAGTCCGATTTAATATCTTGTAATAGAGAACAAGAAAGGACATAAATCTCTATTCTCTGAATACTTTAAGCAGTTCCAACTACAAAGGTACAAATAAAGGTGACGATTTCGTGTTGATGCTAAAAAGTGAAGACATATCACTGTCTTGCGCGTACTTGACTAATTTGCCAGCAGACATTTGGCGATAACGACAAAAAGGGTGTGCGCTGTCATGACCAGAAAAGTGCAAAATGAATAATATCACCTCACACTCCGCCGAAAACAAATGGCGGTTAAACTCCGACTTAGTGCAGGAAAATAGCATAAAAATAACTCCAGTTGGTCTTCCCTCCTATAGAATCACGTTATTTATCGATTTAAATAAATCTACAGGCAAAGGACACTTTGCTCGCGCGAGAAGCGCGAAAAAATCGATAAAATCGCACTTGGAGGTCTAAAGAGAGCTTAACTTTGATTTACATTTCTATGGGGTTTAGCCATTTCGGATGCTTGAAAAAACTGGTTGGTCGCCTTCAAGTAGCAACGGAATAAACGAAAAGACTTTTCGGGAGTTGACAAGGCTGTACCTCCTCCACTCTCTTCATGTACCTCATACGGCTACGCGCAATGCATTTGAATTATTTAACCAAATTAAATACGCTTTAAATCAATCATTTGAGGACTGGTAATCATCTTCATTTAGGGAATTTCGATTTTTAAATTGGCAATTTCATATTCACAAAATAGAAACGATACTTTTAGGATCAACTGCTCAGAAGGGGGTGTCGGGTATTTACGCTCGGGTGCATTCCACTGATCTTTTTACAGATCACCCACACCAAAGTTAAGAAGTGTGAAAGCACTTTGAAATTCGCTTTTATTTACCTCATAAATACTCTAAATAAGATTGACCTATTGAATTGATTACTTTGAAACGTGTTCAAACGGGCAGAGGCACACACCTAAATATCTGACAGGGGCAATAAATATATCCCCCTGCAGACCTATTTTCTGTGGGTGGCTAACCTCTCGAAATTGAGTTCTAGTTAGCAGTCTTCCCTTGGATTGTATCCGATTGCCTTATATTTTTACAAAATACTGTTCGTTCGTGCCAGAATCGTTATGCTGAAATCACATATACCCGAACAAATTGTTAGAACCCAGACAGTCCAGCAATAAACATAAATGATACCATATACGCAAATGAAATTATATTGCACTCTACTACCATCTAACCGAGACAGCGAAATGAGACATGGTAATCAGATTATCATCACTGTTTGGCCTAAAACCCACTTTAAATTGTATTTAAAATTGCAGAGACTTTCTATATATCCTCTAACCTGAACTCCATGGCAATTGTTCATTCTACTTTGGGAACCGGACAGTGGAAAAGTGACTCCAATACGAAAGGAGTGTTAGCATAGTTGATTTTAAAAACGTTTATGCCTTTTAAGATGCCTAATGCGCCAATGGTACTTGTGCCAAGGCTCTGTAGGAGCCAAAACTGATACACGCGTACCGGAATCGAAAGTGTAACAGCGACAAAAGTCTTCAATACGCACTCGGAAATAATATATATACCACTGTTAACGATAACCTAAGCAAGACAAGAATGAGTTTGTTTTTGAACGATATAAGGTCACGAAAATTCTATGAACCAAATTCAGACGAGTCAAAATTCGTGTTTAAATGAAAAAAGAACATTGTTGTGTAAGCATGGTATTACAAAAGTATCAATGAAATTACGTACTAAATTTACCTACTTAATTCGTTGATAAGGCGTATTTAGTAAAACCGCTTCAACATCGATTTTTTTGCACTAATCCGCCTAAGTGTGGGATATGGGCTAGAAAAATCGATAGTTTAATGAAGGGAAAAGCCCAAAGATAGTTCTCACGAGTTCTGATTATCGAACTGAAGGTGTTAGCCCATGGGACCAACAGAAAATCGATGTTTACCTAGTGGAACTTAAGTAGACGTAATTAGTGCCCTTATAACGCAGTTTTCAAGCTCAATTAGAGTAGATTGGATCAGCCAATGCATTTTAATAATTTGACGCACACAACTCAAAATAGTCTAGACAAGTGGCCAACAATGGGTCTATCTATTAAACCATTGATGTCCATTAAAGACTGTTGCCCAAGCGCACTAACACCCCTCTCCGTTTGCGTATTTAGAACCCCTTACGCTACTCAAAAGTGTCTGGAAAATTCCGTGAGAACACTTTCATTAACAGGAACAAATTAATGACTATAGCTTTGGGTAATTTAAAATGATTGACTGGGGTCCCGCCCAGGGGGTTGAGTGTCAATTTGTATCAGAACGCCCAAACAGTCTCAGTACAAATGAGCTCAGGTCAATTAGGCCACCCAGCACCTGCATTAAATTTTATTGCTAACCCCGATATAAATTTCGACTGGGAGATATTGAGACTATGGCCTTTCTAGTGGTTAAAGAATAGGGTGTTCTATCTTCCTTGATGCCTAAACTAGGGACAGGGGTTCCACTCCCCTTACCTTCTAATTGGAATACAACAAAGCCCACTCTTAGTTGTACTATCACAAACTCCTGACTGAGGACAAGTAATTTCTTATTTGAACTAAGTAATTCGTATTACCATCAAAGTTTGAACTGTTGAGGTCAGTACTTTTCCATACCCTGATCTACTTAGGCACCAATTTGATTACGAATCCATTCAAGAGTAAAGGTGGTTATATTTTCATCAACTAAACTCACTTCTAGAATACTAATTTCACATACTGACATGGGGGTAATTAAAGTGGAAGCTAAATATAGGATAACGGAAGCGCTTTCTATGTCAAAGTTTTGGTACCGACGTTAAGTCAGATTTTTTTAAAAATTGGACGCTAATAGGGATGCCAAATGTCTCCGAAATCGACTCACTCATTTTAAATATGTTCAACGTAACGGTAAAAAGCATATACGGGTTAAAATAATTCATCAATATGCTTAAAAGCAGCAAACGCGTACTTTATACACAAATGACAGATAAAGAAGGGGTGTGAATTTTATTACCAAAGGTTGTGTGTGACGCAGAAAGTTAAATGGGGGGAGGGTAAGTAAGACTATTAAAGTTTAATTTACACTCCACCCCTTCCCCCTCCCTTTCAGCGCTTGCGCATATCTTCACATGAGCTACATCGTCCGAATTCAAAACGAACCCCCCCCCCCCCCAAAACCCCAGCTTTAAAAGCATCAATGATACTTACCGCTTTCGAAGATCCACACGAGATCCCGCCCCCAACCTTTAGTTGCTAATTTATGAAGTATAACCAATGGCGGAGGAGTGTGAAAACGAACGGATGGAAAAAAACGACTCACATTAAAAGTTTTCGAACCTATTACCATCATCTGTGGCAAAATTCGAACTATTGAAGAATCGCCGAACAAAAGAGAAACAACAAATGAGGATGAAGCCGAGATGAGAAGTCATGATTTCTGGACTCATTCAGACGGCCCCAGAAGCCTGGAATAGTTGTTAAAATGATTCATAAGGATAGCTGGTCATACTAGTTACTGTATATACTCAATTTATCTTTTAGTTTCAGTTCTTTTTTCACTCCCACAACTGCCTCTTAAATGAAATCTATGATCCAGCAAGTGAAATTTGCGCACCTAACGGCAGCAAAACAGATGTCCATTCAGTTAATAAATTTCTTCCGACAATTATATATTTTTTGAAGCACTGCCGATTGCCTACCACAGGCAACAGATGCTACGGACAGCAAAGATGGGATTTGCATCACGAAAGAGAAAAGGCGAAAGCATAGCGAAAAAAATATTCTGAGCAGAGATAATTATTCCATACTAAGACAAAATATACCCTACAAGCACCACCAACAGTCAAGACGGCAAAAAAGCATATACTGATCAAGTATAGCTGTAAAAACCCGCTTTTTAACAGAAACAACACCATCCACGAAAGCAACAAGTCATAAGAAAAAACCAGTTCATCCAGTGAGAATTTAATACTAAAACAAGTGAATACATACACAAGGGAGGGAATAATACTTTATGGATCTACATAGTCCTGGGAGAGGGGGACGGCGAATAAACAAATGGTCACAAGAAGGAATCAGTAAAATCACTAACCGAAGAAGAAGCACCACTGGGATTAGAAAAGAAGTCAGGTTGATAGACTTCATAATGCGAAACATGGGATGGAAAATAACTATCCCCAAATAATACAGGTTCCCCAAGGGTTCCAGTGGGCAGACCGCATGCGACTAACCGCTGATCATTACTCGCAGTATGACGATGGGAGGATGAGTGAACAAGCTTGGTCGGTTGATGAGAGAATCGGTGATCGCACCTTTCACAATCACGTACCCGGCAATATGTTGATTTAATTCTTTGTAACGTCTGATATTCTACAGAATTATCATCATTCCCGAGAGCATATTCTATTAGATTTATCAAAGAATCGCGGTATTTGAATAAGTTCTTGAGGAGCTCTTCCCGATCCACACGAATAGCTGAGTGAGTAGTGTTAAGAAGAACCTTCTTCGTAAGACGAACTGTGCCTTTAGTTTCAGAAGTGCGATTATCTTTGTCCGAATATAAATTCCTTATTGGACGAATTTCTTCAAAATCGGAGTAAGTTTGAATCTGATTAAATAATTGCGTTTCCTTGTGCCGCCGCGCTTGTTCCGTTTGATTATGTCCTGGTTGCCTGCTTCTGGGTTCCTCTGTTTTTTGAGGGACGCGGCCATATATGTGATTCATATTATGGACTTGTTGGCGAACACGATGGACACTGTAGGACACTCCATCCGGCAAACGTCTCGACCTAGATCGATTTGGAGGTTCATTCCCATAGACAGGAGCCGTATTTGTGTTTTGACGACTAGCATAATCCCTTCTCAGTACTAACAAAGAAATAAGTGAATATCAAAAACATACCCGAACGTCCGAAGGGATCCATATGAATATTTGGCAAACGTATTCAGAAAGCAGACACAAGAGTCAGAACACAACCACGAGCCTTCAAATTATGGCAAAGATTTATGACAGGGTAAAAAGGTCTTTTAGTCAGTATAAACAACACAATAATCAGTAATTTATAAAAATGATAATTAATATTTACCTTTAATTAATGATTAAAATAAAAAATAAAAACGTTCTAATATCTTTTTTTATTAATTTAATGTAATTTTTCCTAATGTTACATGTCACAAAGTAACTAGACATTTATACGATTTCACTTTAAGCCATAGTTACCAACGCAAAAGAATTTGAATCACCATATATCATTCAGTTCACCTTGATTTATATAGATAGACGTATTATGATTAGTCTTTTTCTGAAATTAGAAGCAATTATTAATAAGGCTATCGAATGAAATTAGATATATTACTTAGTTTATCACTTACCACATGAAAATTTGGTTGTCTATTAGTCAGTAACGGTCCAAGTAATCTGGCTCTGCATAGTCTTCATTCCTTAGATTTTATTTTACACCACTCCCATAACTGCATATTGCTCGTATAGTTGTTATATGAATTTCTGAACTGTGTTTGGTACAGCAATCAAACTCCACTCACTGAAGCCTTTAAATACACTAGAAATACCGAGTGACAGCTAATTGTAAGTTTAGATAGAAATTCATTTAATGCGTGAAAATTAAGCTTTGCAGTCAACTTAAAAATGGTCTCTAAGATATAGGTTTGTTATCGAATATTCTACTTAAAAGATATGCAGTAACTGAAACTTGATAAAATTGATTACAGTCTGGTTGAGTTTCCTCATTACAGTACATGAAGCCTAAAAGAGCCTAAATTTGTGAATGAAAGGGTCAATGATAGCTATAACTGCCATTTGAAATAAATTAATAAATTATTGATAAATTTGTAATTCTAATGGCGTGTAAACGGTGGTGAAAACTTGTTGATATGAATTCAAATTAATTGTAAAATTCAGTCAAGATATTTTTCCTGGCGAATTTGGACTAGACATTCTCAAAGGTAACAGGAAAGCAAACTGGTGAAAAATATGAAACGGCGAATAGGCAAAGATGTCGATAATGGGTCATAAAATAATACCAATGGGTATAAAAGTCAGAAATTGAAAGATATAATTTGTTGCAACAAGACCACCAGCTGCACTTTACGACATGGTTTCGAAGCCTTATTTAAAGACATAACTTAGATATTTGTGTTTGTCCCTAAAATATCCACCGAAAGGACCAACCAGTTGTACAAAGCTCAAATCTCAATCACGAATTGAACCATCTTCATAAACATGCTAACCTAACATCCGCAATGCATACTACTTCAACTAACAATAATCGTTCTATCTAGAAAGAACGATCAATAAATTAATCTCATGACATAGTGTCCGACCTCTTTTGTAGACTTGACGAGATTTAGTAGTTAACACCTAGCATTTTACCTCTAAACAGCTAAAGTAAAAATCGTAGTAATTCTCTCTTATCGATATTTGTAATTTAAGAAGGGTTCGAACTTGTGTTGGGCTAAAAATTCATCTTCTTTGAAAAACAATACCTGCGATTCCCACACAAACACCCATATGGTCATACTGCTCATACTAACGAGCCTGCAATATTCTAATTATTTTCTTTAACTCTTCCTTGCCACATTGAATGCTATGCTAAACAATATTAAATAAACAGAAATTTCAAGTTAATTAAGCCGTTTAATGAAAAATAATAATATATTTAAAACTATGAATCAATTTTTCTGTGCTTATTAGATAGAATATTTGACAAAAAGGCCCAATTAAACGCTGAAACTTTAAAGAGGTGCTATTGATTAATAAAATAGCTAATGATCAGAAAAATCGTTTCAGATTTCATAACAGACAAGGAAAAAATGCTACATCTTGGGACTAATCAAACTAGTTAGTTACAATAAATTACCAAAAACCTTTCGTTTAGAATCGTGGAAATTCATAAAATAGGGAGATTTTTACGAACGTCTTGAAATAATACATGATTAACATTTAAAGCCTGACATTTGCACAACAGTGAATATAAATGCTGATTATAGGCAATATGGTTCAAATAAAAGATTACAAGATATAAAATACGGAAATATAAAACTAAAATGCTTTTCCCTCCACAATTATAAAGATTAAATGTAGTCAAATGAGTCGCTTCAAAAATATTTAACCACACTCCATAATAATCATTATTTGCTCATATTATACTCATACATGATTAATTCTCTGAAAGAATCCCGCAAAAAATATTTATTTTATTTAACCTCAGCTTCGCTTATTTCGTAAACCAAAATGGCACATGTTTATCAAAGTGAAATATAAATTTACAGAAAATGAAAAAGTTAGTCATTTACTTAAGTGGGTTTAACCATAGAAACTTGGCATTTGTTTGATATCTCAAGGTCATAGAAAAAACGGTTTATTGCGTGAAGTGGACAAGGGGAATATAAAATAAAGTAAATCCGAAGGTATATAATATTCAAATATTTAAAGCGTACAGTGTTTAATAATTGAAATATTAAACAAGCATGGAGTACTTAAATTCATGCAATGGTAAATACCAAAGACCTAAATCTGAAAAAGATATTTTTTCATCGAACCTCAGACAGAGGACTGAATATAAATTATCATTGCCACCGGGTATTGGTAGAATAGGTGACTCTAAACAAAATTCAGCAGAGGTTAGATTTTGTCTCAAATTAATAAATTCCCATTTAAATGGAGGCCTCGATATATGGGTAGCAGAGAAGTCACCATAAACAAGTTCAAAGCAATTGATCAACGAAATAAGACATGCATAATTCTTAAGATTTTCAATTTTATGCTTTATGGACTTAAACCTGACCCGAGAGCGCGAAAAGTGTACTCAAATAGGAGAAATCAATTTAATTTTTTTAAAATAGACAAAAGGACAAATATAATGTAATTAAATGATGAACAGTGTCAGAATAATAATTTTTTGCACGAATGGCTGTTAGAATTAGTCCGAGGGACCCACTGTGGCATAACACGCGTCCAAAAAACTTGCAACAACCGTCGCAACTAGCGAGCGATCGGGTATTTGTGCGCACATCCCATATATTGCCGCCTGGAATAAATAAATAGAGTAACTAGGGGTTAGTCTAGTCAATTTTTATTCCGGCAGTGAATGCGCATAGAGTAAAAGATCAATGAAATGGTACCAGATGCTTATGATGAACGGATTTTTCGATGATTATCGTTCTTTTACATCCATACAGCTTCCCCAATGTTACATAACCAGCTAACCAGCCACTCAAATTATACCTGGGGAACGTTCTTCATAATGAGATGTGATCTTCCTTGAACTAAAACCAATCGACCTCCTCCAGATAATTAGATAACTGAGTTGCCAAACGTGATATCTAATAAGCTCTGATTAACTAGTATTTAAACTGTTGCTATTACTATGCACATCAAGACAAACCTTTCCAGTCGCCTTCATTTTGGGCTCCTTTATGAGGTGTTCGGCAGCATTTCGAAGGTCATCTAGGAACTGCTGAGCAACTCCAGGTTGGGTATGTACATCTGTGACACAGAGGTGTATCGAGGATGGATATTGTAGAGCATTTAGACTCCAATTAGGAGAACCGTCAGAATTATGAGACAAGAGTTCGGACAGTTGGTAGATGTCAAAGATATCTGATGTGAAAGCTATCACACTCACTTGAGGAGCACCAAGTAAGCGCAAACCCGGAATGGAAGCCACACTGCAAGAAGAAATAGAACTAAATCATTGGAGCGAATACGAACCAATATAATGCTCACAGAAAATACAACAGCTAGGAACTCTGTGGTTTGGTCAAAACACTTCCAGAAATATTATTTCATAATAAGTCACACTAAGCGGCGTTTACAGTGCTCTTGCAAGCTTAATTCATCTACTCAGAAATAGAGTAAACGACCAATCCAGTTAAATCAGATCAACTAGATTTGAATATCGTACAGAAGCGTGGGGAACAGATCCCGAAAATTGAGCCATTGTGGTGGAGAAGATAACAAAAATTAAAATAGGAACTCTAAACTACTTCACTGAATTATGGTTTCCTATTCAACCTCCTTAGTACTATTTTCTATTTTGTTTGTCGAATTGCCAATGCATGAATGAACTGAACAGAGACATGCTCTGTTACAACACCCATGAGAAATTTTGCATTTGATCACATTTTTATGAGGAAATGGTTTGGAAAACGGTAGAGCCATGGCTTACGGAATTTAAGATTTTGGTTCCTTTTTTAACCCAGAAGAATGAGAGCTTCTGCTTAGTAAAAAGACGGTTTGAAGAGACATTCAATGAATTTGAAGCCAAACGTAGACATTTCTTAACTTATTCTCTTTGAGAATCACTAATTATTGATAAGTTTTTGAATGCTAAAATAGTTTGAATTCATGGTACATATACTACTTAAAAGTTAGTGTTTCGGTTTTCAGAGCTCTATCACTTATCGTGTAAATAGCAATCCCCAATTCAACTTATCATTTCGCTATGAATTTTGGACCCACACTTAGGCTTTACAAATTCCTTCCTTATTCCAGCGACAATATACTCAAATAGCATTATATAAATATATGCGATAAGTTGAAACATATTTGAACTGTTAATGTGAAGCTAAACATTCAGCAATAACGAATATCATTTTACAAAACTGAAAAGCTTCACTACTTAGTAAAAATGAGTAGAATTATAAATAGAGCATTTCTCTCACCCTTCAGCGATTTTCCGAGCTGTTGAAATAATGCGTTTGGCTGATTTCACATAACCATCCCTCCCGAAATACATCAAAGCAGCCCAGCAGGCTGAGATCAGAGCGCCTGAACGACTTCCTGAAAATAGCAACAAAAGTTCCAACAGTCAAGCTAAAAATTTCTCCGCTTACACACACTTGCATAATTCAGAACAACCAATTATAGGGTGCACAGAAAATTGATTGTCATAAAATTTGCACTTTTAATTAAGATTCAATAGCATTCCTATTATGGCAAATCAGAGTTAACTGGAGTGTCAATTTTGAAAGATAGTAAATAAAACACGACAAATAACTTGCCAAGAAACAATATAATCTCAAATAATCAGAAATCCTAATTGGTTAAATGTAACAAAGCTTACCAAATAACATATATATTACCATTTGAACTAGTTCACTGATCTACGCAAAATTCGTAGCTCAGACAATATATTTTAAATGAAGACCAATTTCGAAATACAGTCAACCGAAGTAAAAACAAATGCAAACTAGGTTAAATAAACGCTACTCAAATAACATTAGTAGTAAAGACACACCAGCGAGTGTTGGTGTGGCGTAGATTCCACCAGTCCAATCAGGAACAAGGAAGTACTGATTACCTCGAAGAGTCTTGCTTCTGTACATAATCACCGATGTTCCCTTTGCGGCAAATCCATACTACAATAGTATTAATTAATTCCTAACTTTTTCATTTAAAATGTAAATCAAAGGTGAAGGTAACAGACCTTGTGAGTGTCACACGAAATACTCGTAACTCCGGGGAGTCTGAAGTCGAAAGGTGGTAGTGAATAGCCTGCTTCATCCATGAAAGGCAACAGAAAACCACCCAGACAACTGTCCACGTGAACAGGAATTCCATACGATTCACCAAGCTGATTAATTTCGGCAAGCAAAAAAGAAATAAAAAATTAGGAGTCAAGTGATTTAAGAAACTACATAATTTTGTAGCTGAATAACACTGACAGCCACATGGTGCCTTGAAGTTTTGTTATGTAAACTAACATCAAAATTTTGTCCTGTGACATCAGAATGAGATAAAAGTGTGAATGGAGGTGCATACCTTAGCTATGCCTTCGATATCATCAATAATTCCTTGCGGAAACTGTGGTGCTGATCCAACTAGCTACAAACGGATGAAAATGTGGGCATAAAGATCTTGAAATTAAATTGAATAGAGCATTTTGAAGAACGAAAAAAAGTCATCGATTTGATTTGTCCAAATTAATTTCTTGATGTAAAGTTGACTATCACTAACCAATTCGTTTGAAAGCCAGCTATGTACAAATCCAAATATTTGTTATTCCTAAAATCATATTCTAGAAATAAATCACGGCACAATACTTTGAACCTAGAGCGACATGTTTTATGATGAATAATTTATCGAAATACCATTCAATCAATCTTAGAAATAGGCGCATTTTTCCCTTGATATGATCAATATAATGCAACGCTTTTTTTCCAGAACATTATTGAAACATCGACTAACGCTAAAAGAGTTTGAAATAATATGAAATGCGTGCTGGACTGTATGAGTAGAACTTGTGTTTTTGCAGTTGAAATATATATATCAGCTAGTTGGTCGTAGTCTCCAATTCCTCGCATGACGACACTGGATATGTGACAATAAGAACTGGCCTTGTGCTCACTGACTTGACGAACTTCCAAGATGACCATAACACCATTGACGTATATACCCAACGTTGATGTTATTGTAGAATACATGTTTCTTAAATGACATTCCGCATGACATAAACAACATGATACAACAATCTACTGGTCGGTTAACTTCGAACATCGTGAACCAGGAGTACCACTTCATTAATCTAGGGATCCAATTTTGAAATTCGAAGATTAGAATATGCGATCATGATAAATCTTTTAGGCAAAATCGGACAACTTGTAGAACACAAAGGTTAGATCAAATATGACCCGGCTATTGCTCAGACTCTTAGCCAAACCAAGATTAAGTATTTCGTCATGATCAACAATCCTTAAATGTTGGCCAATTAAGTCATGGCTACAAGTGCACCTGTTCCAAGTATGAAGGATGATATTGCCAAAGTGGGAACTTAGCATTCTATTACTCCTTTCCAGGCTGATTTTAGGCAACGCGATTATTAATGAGCAGATAAGTGTCGAACTCATGATCTTTGGTTATAAAGATGTATTCATTGTCATGGGGTTTCAGCACTGATAGACAACCAGTTACTAATCTTGTACTAATCTTGTTACAAATCGAAATTGAAAGTGCATTTATAAAGCAGAGGACATCATGTGAAGAGAGTACATCTGTGATGGAAATTTCAAGGACTCACCAAGCATGTTCTTCGTGTGATAGCTCGAGACATAGCTTTCAGATCCACCTTAAAAGTCACTGGATCAAGAGGCACTTTCTTGATTTTAACATTCATCAGCATGCCAGCCTACAGAAATATGGAGTTACAAGGGGACTGCATCCGTTAAACAAATTACTTATTGGACTGCAATGAACAAGTGGTCTAAATAAATGTAGGCGAACAGTAAAAAACGCCTACCTTATCAAACGAGGCATGAACCGATACTGGAACCACGCTAAATAGAAAATAAAATGAGGTCATAATAATAAAGAAGCTATTTATTTAAATGGGAATAAAAGAACAATATTTACACTGGCTGCCAATAACATGGTGCTATTTACTCAAGCCAAGTGTTAACAATTTCATCATTGGAAAGGCTTTATGGAGTAAGTTCATAAGTGATAACGTGAAGTATATAGCGGTCTATATAGTGCAAATCCAATTGGTACGAAGGAATGAAAAAGGTGATGAAAGAAGCCAAATCTTTCTTCAACATAACGCAATCAGTCATATGGGGATAGAGGCTGGAGACAGAAAGGAAACAACGAAGAACGAAGTCCTTTAATTATTGATAAAATAGTACTAGCCCCCCCCCCCCTCCCAAGTGAATAAATTAATTAGACACAGAAGAAATAAAGTACTATGATCTAATTGGTATATCAGCTGGATAAGCGTGATTATAACACCATGTTGCCATCTCTATATGATGGAAATAAGAGTTATTAGAGTAGTGGTCAACCCTGACCTCAATTAACCGCGCGGCATATGTCGCGCGCCATCCAATGGCATGCTCATTCGATGCAAAGAGACGTGGAATTATACCATGAGATCACGAAAACCGCGCCACTTTAAAAGCTTAAGGTCACGTGATTTTTAATGTTAAGAGAATAAACCACATTTTGAGGATATTAAATTATCTGAGTATGCGACAGTGGCATAGTGACCGACAAATAGGTTTTTATAATCGGCAAACAGCACAGGAGGCTACACTTACTTGGAGAAGCAACAGTTTTTTGGGCTTGAGAAAGGACACAAGCTTCAACGATCTCTTAAGCACCAACGCAAGCTAAACAGCAAACTAATGGCATAAACGCGATTTTTTGGTACGAAAAACTTACATCTCCGGATTTTTGATTCCCAGCTTGTAAGCGCGATTTCGATAAGCAAAACAAGCGAGCAACAAACTTTCAGTTCCTCCAGAGGTCATCTAAATGTGGCAAACAGAGGTAAAGAAATTCAGTTAACTATCTTGCTTCAACACAAATTTTGTTATAATACACTAGCGAATAAGGGAAATATTTAAAGAGATGACTAATGCATCTTTAAAGCTCGGTAGTTTAATCAGGTGACATGTTTGAAACTAAATGAGATACCGAAACGGGAATTAAAATATTCCACAATAAGGTGGAATGAATTTATTTTGTTTAAATAAACAACACTAATCAAATATGTCCTGGATAAAATGCAAGTTAATGACAAAAAATAGAATACGACAAAAAATTAACTTAGAAACTGACTGTGCCACAGCATTCTGAATCACCATGAAAGAGATCGATACACATACTAACAACTTCGGCTTCCATTCTGCGAACAGCTGGAAACGCATCAACATGAAGTGGATTCGACCAGAGATATTTTTTTTGAATCTGTTACAAAAATAAAAAAATAATATTCCAAACATATGTCCTAAAAATATTTTTACCTTGATAAGGAGATCATTTAACTCTTCATTGAAGGGGTATACAGTTCCCGACATTCGACCATCTTTCCAAGAAACAATCGAACCTGAGTTGTATGAATCGGCTTGTTTCAAAACATCATCCTATGATATTACAAAGCGCATTAATTCATAACTTACTATGGATTTTGAAGATTTCGGCATGCGCGTTTGATATCCTAGATTTTTGGTTTTTCCGTGAATGGATTTAAAAATTTCCATTTCTGCATCAATAATTTTTCTTTTTTTGATATCACGAAAATAAGGAAGATCGGTTAAAAATCTGAAGAGAGTAGCTTTAATTTTCGGCCCATCAGAGAATAAATTAAGAGTTTTCTTTATCATAAAGGTAAAGGCCACGAAAAATAGGGCATAGAAAATAAGTTCAATTAGTTCATGTTGACGAAGGTAGTCATTGACTTGAGAGAGATGTATTTTCAAAATATTCATATAATCAATAATCTAAGAAAAGATAAAAACTATGGAAGCAAACCATTGGGGAAAAAGCTTCACGTCAATATTACGTCACTCACGACAAATTACTTCAATTTTGTGCGTTTTTGATGCAGCGTGGATTTTGTTGAAGGAAGTGATACGTTAGTGCATTTAAAAAGTTCAAGGTTACATTTATTAAAATTTCGATAATCAAAGTTTCAAATAACTTTGTTATTAAAACGCATTTTTTAAAGTATATTATTTTTTCGATATTTAAATTGTTTATTTTCCATATTTGGAATGAAATGAACTTTTAATTTTATTTGAAAACAGACAAATAATTAATTCAGTAATTTCAACACATAAAATTGGTTTTAACCGAGTTGAGAAGATAGTATCGTCCGTATCTCTTGATTTTCTGCTTACAGGTTTCCTCTATCCAACTAATATGCTGCCTTATTATCGACACATTTATAATAATAGGAGACTAAATCAGGACGAACAATAACAGAAGGGCCTTCAAACTCTTTAATTCTAAAAATATTTTGTGAGTTTTGTCTCAGTGAAATAATTGAAAATTTTGAACTCTTCATAAATATTTTCGAAGTTTGTATTTAACAGTTTTGCGATCGTATTTAATTGTAATTATAATGGCCTTATTTACTTTTGGAAAGTAATTTATTCTTTTACTTATTAAACAAAAAGAATGCACATTATATGTAATTTTTGATAAACTTTCAAATGTAGCTACATCGAGTTAAATGCGTTGGAGGTAACGGTGGTGATATTCGTGACGAACGTGATTGTAATAATAATAATTACAATGGTGCTAATAAAACGGTCATTACTTAATTGGATTTAGTTTTGGTAAACATTCCTCATTGACTTCTCAAGTAATTACGGGTCAAAGGTGGGGGGGGGGGCGTACCTGCTATAAAGCAGAACCTCATAGAAGCTAATTAAAATGATATATGGAAGTGAATGGACAATCTAGCTTATTTTATAGGTCCCAATATGCTTTAAAGCTCATCCTCTTTGTTGGGTTATACCAGCCGAAGTAAATCATAGCCTCATTGGAGGAGGTCTTTGGTAAATACATTTACTTTTAAAGGCGTGTTGAGGATACGCCAAACAGGAAACTGTGTTTCTTACTAGCATGATCGGCCAAGTTGTTCGGTAGGTGGGAGGTGATAAACGTCAAAATTGAGGTCCCTGTTTTGATAGGCAATCAAATCCACACCTCCTCTTTGGTTGGGTAAGAAATTTCTTCAGAACTTCAGCTGTTTCCTTCAGGCCCATTTCGATTTAAGCAAACTTATTATTTTTTTCTAATAGATGTGTGCCCCATTAATTTTCATTTAAACCTCCATTAACGTCATTTCATTGTTCAATTAATCACCCATTTTTTTGCTTTAGGCAATTTCTCACGAATATTTTCACCTAGATTTTTCCCTCTGTGATTCCGTCTGACTTTAATCTCTAACTCCGATCTTAATGACCGCTCTCTAACCCGATCACGGCACTCCCGAAAAGTTAACCCTCTAAATATGCCTAACCTCCTTCCTTAATCGATATGACTAATTTCTCTCAGTATTTATTTATTTCAAATGGCAGTGTTTTGATAGTTATCATTAGCCATTTAGCTGACTTCGGGCATCACAGAGTGGAGGAGGAACATCAAAGTGTCAAAAAGAAGAGAGGGGGGGGGGGAACAGAATAATGATTCACGGACGTAAAAGAGACAGGCAGACACAAAGGCAGAGAAAAGGTCAGATGTGTACTGTGAAAGTGGTGAAATATAACAAACAGTGGGGTCATGGTAGTATGGAGTCAGAAGTCAACTGCCGGTTAATAGACTTTGTTGCCGTATGAGTAAACGTTGCCCAAGGTGCACCACGTGGAGATAAGTCTATCGCACGTCCTATTTCTCTCAATATTATTGCCCATTAGTTCCAATCGATCTACCGTCCTGATTGCTCATCATTCTGGTTGTCAAGATTACTCAGCGTTCCGATCATTTGCGATCCAAAAGAAATATAAATGGACCGGCTACGGCCAATAGCACATTAATGGGCTATTGGTAAGGCCGATTAAGTGGACTAGATCACCTCAGCTTTCTAACGCTTTAAACCCCGACTGTTCCCTATCTCAGACTATCCTTCCACCGCTTAAAATACTTTTAATTGTTGCATTACTAATAAAGTGTTGGTAACCACTGTGACCACATTGGACCCTAAAAAATCCTATGACCTCTCACTGTTAGTCCAGCTTATACAAAGTATTACATTAAATAATCAAGAATGAACAAACTATCAATGGTGCGCAATTGGTAATTTAAGGTGTGTTTGTAGCGGATTGCTACACCGATGCAGGTTGAAATAAGCGTGAAGAAGTTTTCTGGGGGAAGAGAACTCACAATATCAATATGAATATGACGAAAACAAGCCACAGGATGAGGGAATCCAGGAGACTGAACTTCAGGCATGTTTGGGGACCTTGCTGGTGCGATAAGTGAGGCAATTTTTGGACCACAGACGGACGTCGTGTAGAAATGACCGAACGAATGTTTTGATAGGACAATCCATGGAAATGGTTGGAAATCTTCAGACAGTGTGCTTGCGGAAAGAAAAGTCACGGCTTATCGTTTGAAACGTCGCAATTGATCCGGGTGTCAGGATCCTATAGGGGTAAGCATTCGAGACGTAAAGATAGGTTGGACATGATTTCCGTGAATTCTGGATCCGACTTTTGTTCCTTAACCATATTCTTCAGGTCGAGGGATGATAACGCAAGTTGGTTCAGTTCTATACGAGACTTTGCATCGTTCACAACGTTACCACGATTCCATATTGCTTTATGCGTTCAAACACATGCCGTAGGTGCTGTTCGCGCTCCTAAGGGTTGGAACTGGGGATGGGCACGTCATCAAGGACAAACAATAGAAATCGTTGAAATGATTTTGCCCCATTATGTAGACCGAAAGCCACACATAGGTGCTCGAAAAGGCCGAATGGCATGATAACGGCTGCCTTCGCAATATCCACTTGAGCTATTCGTATCTGGAGATAGTCTCGAACATGAACAAGTTAGGAACAAATTACTTAGCATTAATTGCCGAGAAAAATTATGAATATGGTGTACATGGAATATCTATCTGGGGTAGCCATTTGATTGAGAACCCGATAATCACTGTATGGTCTCCAGTCACAGTTTTTATTTGCAAACAGCAGCAAGTAATTCACCAGGATGACATCGTGCTTAAGAGAAAACGGGCTGCTCTTTTGTAACAATTTGATGACGCTCCTCATGCCCGGGTTTCAGAATTTCGGACTAGATGCAAAAAGTTGAGAGGAACTCCGCTAAGGTTTCCGAGAAAGGATTGTTGGCGGTTATGAGGACATCCAGGCCAAATATGCTTAGAACATCTGTAGAGCAAACCACTTGAAGAGAGGTAACGTTGTCGAGTAAGATGTCATCTCTGTGATTGACGAGCATGCGAAATTTAGAGAGGAAATCAGCACTGACGATGGGTTTATGCACGCTCGTAATTAGGAACCCTCAACTCAGTCCTAAATCGAGGTTGAGGGACCTTTAGCCATAGGTGTGGGTCTTCGTAAAAAAGCCGGTTGGTTGTAGAAAATGTTTTAATTACTGAACGAGGGATAAAGTTTACTTCGGAACCGGTGTCCACAAAAAGTTGAGTTAAGAATTTTGGTTGACTACGTGGAGGAGGGGACTAGTGAAACGGCCAGGATCTCTCGTCGCCCTTACTACCTAGAGTACGATTTTCTCCTAGAGCTGGTATTCCGGTATCTGCAACCTGGCTGGCATTTCTTGCCTTCGTCTCCATACGTTCTGTGTAAGCAACAGATTTGGTTAAGGTGTTTTAATAGATTACAACGTCTTTCTGGAGACATAGAGCGTCGTTTACGTGACTGGAGGAGAAGCCTGGGACGAGCACTTCTAGCTTCTCCAGCTGATCAGTGATGACGTCCAGTTGCTACTGAGATTTTAACTGCATTGATACCTAGCCTATCGTGATAGTTTTGGATGCCACTACGGCTAGTTTGTCAAGATTGTCTTGGTAAACTCTGGTGGTTAAAATTCACGACATGCTTGCCGGGAAGCATCTCATCTATAATTCTTTAAAAGCTTTGTGTTTCCCATCTTTTTCGCCAGCTAAGAAACGCATGTGACGCAAAAGATGAGATGGAGTGCCATCTTCTCAATCGACTTGTGAGAAAAGTTGTTCAAGACGTTCCCCCTGGGAAACAGAGAGACGACAGATAACAGCTTTTTGAGTGTGTAATAGCAGATGTCTTCTGGTGTATCCTCGACGATGTCGTAGACATGGCATTGGATAGTAGAGAAGCGATAGCATGCAGAAACAGCATTCGCTGTTTGGCAATACCAGAATAGTTTGATGCTAACTTCAAGTTGTAGGAACCAGATATGGGGGTAGTTTGCTTCGAAGGTGGGATTACGAGAAGAGGGACTTAAGGTATTAATGCTAAAACCTGTTTCCGGCGACTAAAGGAGAGAGTTGAGGAAATCGGAAGAACTGTTCGTGGATCACCAAATGTGCAGTGCAACCTGAAAAAATCGTCGAGAGAGAGAGAGAGATTGAGTCTTGGATGAGCAGATCTTGTCAGAATAACTAAATCACGTTAAAGTTACCTGTCTGTAGCTGTTTACTACAAAAATGAGCCTTGACTTCTTCTTAGTAATCTCTAATGGCAACTTCTACTAGTTTGGAAAGGCTCCCTAACCTGAACTACGAATTAAGGGCAAAGGCGTATTGCTAGTGAAGCGTTTATTGAAATTATCATCTCAGCAAACATGATTACTAATCGCATACATCTAGCATAATTTGAATGAACACAAATAGCTGGCTATCTGCTCGTACGATCGTACCCTTCATAATGTTTGGGCGCTCAGCTTAATTGTGTACTGATTGTGCGCACCATTATAATTTATAATCAATAACTGATACCTCATGCCTAACTGCTGTGATTTTTAAACGATACATTGCTTTGGAATTGTGAAGTGGAATAATTACCCAAGTCCATTGAGGTACGTGCTATTAATGGACGATTTTTATAGTAGCAGGCAAGTGAAAATCACATTTGGCAACTCCTTAAAACTAACCTGTGCCATCTAAATCCCTGAAAGTTCGTCAATGTGAGTCGATTTGCTGACCCTTGACTTGAGGAACGTTCGTAGTGATTTATGCGAAAACGTAAGACAAAGAAGCATCTAACATTCAGTGACAATGACGGGACTCAAAAAAACTCCTCAAATGTATCTAAGATGCAAAGGTCCTCGGCCTCTCCTGCTGACTTTCAATCTAGACAACAGTGTTTGGTGGTAGTTAAGTTAATCGTTTATAGAGTTTAGCCTGCTTCAGGCGCTACGATTGACAACTTAGTAGCGTGGTGATTCAATTTGCCAGTGCGAATCGTCAATAGTGTAGCGGACTGCTACATTAGTAAAGCTAGAGAGGAAAGAGACGTATTACACAGAAAAGTCTTTTACAAAATATGTTCACGGCAAATGCAAATAGGCATCAAATAGATCTAGCATAATTTAAGCGAACATAGACTTAAATAGACATAGACTTAATAATAAATATTTATTTATATCAAACTGCAGGTGTTTTGATGATTACCATTAGTCCTTTAGTTGACTTCAGGCTTCACAGAGGATGAGGGACATCAAATTGAAAAAAGTCGAGAGGGGGGGGGGGAACAGAAGAGTGTTTCAAATACGAAGGTAGAAAAGGTGGTAAAAAGGTGAGGCGTGTACTGCGGGAGTAGTCGAATATGACATACAATGGGGTGAGGGTAGTTTGAAGTCAGAAGTCAACTGCCAATTAATAGACTTTTTTGCCGTATGAGTATACGTTGCCCAGGGTGCACCACGTGGAGGTAAGTCTATCGCGCGCCCCATTTAAGCGAACATTAATAGCTAAATATCTCTGAGCAGTATTCCACGCGTACGGCCGCGCACTCCAAATCCTGGCGTGTGTGCATGTGATGACGTGCAACACATTAGCAGGTCTCAACGTTTCCTAATATTTTCTAGCCTTGTAGAGGACCTATTTACAACATATTTTGATATATAATTCCTAAGACCTATTTGACGAAGATCTTGTGGTAATCAGGTTTATTTAACGTGCTAAAGATATCGTTCTTTATGCCATCTTTTCAATAATAAATGATCAAATTTGCACACATATTGCAAAATAAATATATCGTTATGTATACTGCATTGAATAAATAATCTCTGGAAGCTATCTATAATTCCTTAAGTCTCAATTGCAAGAATGAATGGATTGCCTACGTGTTCTAACTTACAGAGAGGACGTGTAGGCTCACGATCTTGAGTCAATGATATGGAAAAGATTCATGCAAATTAAAACCACGTTTTTTAGGAAAGTGACCTATAATTTAACTTAAAGCATTATTTACTATTAATTGTAATTGACATGAACGGTATTACCATAGCAGCATCGCTACTTTTCAATAAATATAAATCGCATATTGCATACGATTTTTGCAAGGAAGAAAGATGTAGATTATGTGTCGACGGTGGGTAGAAGATCTCCTCTTCAACAAAAAACCGTGACAGTGGTAGAGGCTGCGGTTAAATTAAGGAGGTAATGTTCCAGTTCCTGACACTTATGCAGCCATCACTCGATAGTTAAAGAATACAGGAAAATAACTTACGGACTGAGAGTATCATACTATATACAATTTATAACAGTTCTATAATGACAATATATGCATTAAAGAAGGAAATGGTAAATATGCATTTAAGCGAATAAAAATATAGCAGGAAGACTAGTTTCTGTCATTGTGATAAACTTGCCTACTACAATCGACGTGAGGGTGAACAAACAAAGGCAATGCTACTCCCGATCTTAAAAAGAACTAAACAAAAAAATGTTTGGATGTTAAAAAAAACATCAGTTCATAGGTATTTATATTTCGAAGTGGGGTGTACGATAGACTTACCTCCACATGACGCACCCTGGGCAACGTATACTCATACGGCAAAAAAGTACATTAACTGGCAGTTGACTTCTTACTTCAAACTACCATCACTCCACTCTATGTCATATTCCACCACTTCTTCAGTACTCACCTCACCTTTTTTCTACCTTTTCTACCTTCGTCTTTGAAACACTCTTCTGTCTCCCCCTCTCGACTTTTTTCCCTTTGATTTTCCTTCCCCTCTGTGAAGCCTGAAGTCAACTAAAGGGCTAATGTTGACCATCAAAACGCCTGGCATTTGATATAAATAAGTAAATATTTCGAAATTGTCTCACCATCAGATGCATTGAGAGCCCATAAAGAGGCAT